TTTATTTATAGGTGGATCACTGTAGTATTAGGATGGACTCATTTTTGTCTTCAGAACTGCCTTAATTTTTGTCGGACTAAAATGGTGCTGGAAACTTTCATCACAGCTTTTGGTCCGTGCTGACATGACACATCAAACAGTTGCTGCAGATTCATCAGACCAGGCAAAAGTTTTCCAATCTTCTATTGCTCAATTTGGGTCAACCTGTTCAAATTATAGCCTTAATTTCTGGTTCTTAGTTGACAGGTGTGTCACCCAGGGTGGTTTTCTGCTGCTGCTTCAAGGTTTGATGTGTTGTACATTCAGAGATGCTCTTCTACAAACCATGATTTTAACAAGAGTTATTTGAGCTATTATTGGCTTCCTATCAACTCAAAGCAGCCTGGTTATTCTGCTCTCACCTCTGTCAAGAAGGCACCTTTACCTAGCAAACTGCTGCTCCCTTCATATATTTACCTTAATAGGGCCATTCTCCAACAATCACACAATGTTTAAAGTCACTTAAATAACTTTTTTTCACTCATTCTGATGCTCAGTTTGAATTCCAGCAGGTCATCTTGACCTGCGGTCCCCAACCCCCGGGCCTCGGACCGGTACCGGTCCATGAGTCATTTGGTACCGGGCCACGAGAATTGAGGCTCAGGTGTGAAATGTATGGTTTTCAGGGTTTTTATCGGTTTTCAGCGTTATTTTGTTATCGTTTTTAATCGTTAACTCGGTTTTCCTGGGTCTTTTCATGTGTGTTATGAATAAATCGTCTTTTTTTCGGTACCGGTACTAGTTTTATATTGTTGTATTTATCCGCGACACCTTAAAGGCCGGTCCGTGAAAATATTGTCGGGCATAAACCGGTCCGTGGCGCAAAAAAGGTTGGGGACAGCTGATCTTGACCATATCTATATGCCAAAATGCAGTGAGCTGCTGTCATGTTGTTGGTATTAGATATTCACATTAACAAGCAACTGAAAAACTATACCCGATAAAGTGTCTGGTGAGTAAATATATACATGGATTGCATACGAAATCACACAAAAAATATATAAGAAGAGTGTTGGTATGATACCCATCATATAACAGACCTGCTTATTACAGTGGATGTAGCAGCATTTCAGTCTTGAGTTAATTCAAATTTTAAGATTTAAAGGTGAAAAATGATCAAAGAGGCAATCATCAGGACTGAACTTTTACCAAATAGGTCATTTCCTACACTATAACAACTAAATAGTTTGTTCCTTTTGTCTATTCAAAAGTCATTCAGAATTTAAAAAAAAAAAAAGAATAAGTAAAGCGTTACTTTGTTTGATCCCAGCAGTGAAATGTGTTCTCTGCCAAACTTAACTATCAGCTGCAGCAGCAGACAGCAGCGCTGGGCTCCCACGAAGCAACTCCAGCTGTTTAACAAGAACCATGATGCAGAAGAAGCACCTTAACATGTTTTTATGTTCCTTGACAGCAGCACTGACTACTATGCCTGTGTGCAATGCCTATTAACATGTCATTATTATTACATGAGTAAGTAATACTCATTGGTCAGGCAATACCTGTCGTCAAACTTATTTATTTATTTTTAACCTCAGTTAAAGTTTGATGTCTTATCAAACACAGTTGTGATGCAGTTGCATGGCAACGACAGGCAGACAGACATGTGAAAGTGTTCAAAACAGACCTTGAGGTAGTTCCAGTAGGTGTCTCCAGGACCATATTTTAACTGATACAGACCCAGAGCCACAGAGTGAAAACAATGTCAGCTACACTATCATAGGTGGGAATGACAGTAATACAAACAGACTGGGAGAGGGAGACACAGAAAATTTACAACACCTTGTATTTTATTTATTTTTATTTATTTATTTATTTTTGTTTATTTATGTTTTGCTGCCATAGATATCTGTGGCTACCAATATATGTAGAGAAGCAGAATGTAGCGTAACTGTAAATAATTTCTTTCGATAACATTGATGAGCTATGAAAAAATAAAGTATTCTTTTTAAACCGTTCTTTGAAATGTTGCATGTATCTTGTATTCTTATAATTTGTAACTTTGTAATATATTGCATTATTTAATTTAGTTCAGTCTGTTACTGTTCTTATTGTCTTGGAGCAACTGTAACCAAATCATTTCATTAGGGATTAATAAAGTATTCTGATTCTGATCGTCTCATGTAGCTGACTGAGCCTGGAGCCCATTCTAGCAGACCTGGAAAAGGTGATGTTTATCTCCCAGCCATCACAGCTAAGGCTTCAAGCCTGAACTCAATCAGAGGCAGTCTGAGTCAGTCGTGCCCTTACCTATATGACAAACGAAGAGGATCCTTCTCCTCAGTGGCTTCTCAGAAAACAGGAGGTCACACTGCAAAACAGGTAGGCTGATATTTTGCTTGCAACAAAAACAAATTCAAACATGTTTTAAACCCTTCTTCTTACACTGTGCACGTTCTGCCCTCTTCTTATCAGAGCAGCCTTAAGACACAAAAAGAGGCAAAGAAATCCAATGTTACTGTGACAATGACCTACCTTGGACAAAGACATCGGAATTTGGGGCTTGGGTCAACTCAGGATGAACTGAAAGTACTCCAGCAAGTCAATGGAGGAGAGAATATTTGTGTCTTCAAAGGCCTCGTAGCTCCAGGCGGTAGGAACTGCTAAAGCTGAAACCGTATCGTTTGAATGGCCAACAATGATTCAGAAATTCGTTTTTTATATTTCTTTATATTTGACTCCCTTTTGGAGATTTTAAGGTGTTTTCTGCCATTAAGGGGGTCAAAGTAAGAGAAAGAAATCAGTGGCATTAAAGTGTCCACTGCCACAAGCTTAATTCCTCATCAAAGCAAGATTTTAATGAGAATGATGAGAACACTGCCCTGAGGCAGAATTTCAGCCGAACACCAATAAAAAGCTGATGTGTGACCTGATGCACTGTCATCGCATAAAAAAAAGTCAATAGACAAGACAAGTTATTTCATCTTTGCAGTCGGTACATGTTGATATACACTGTACAAGCATCACTCCAGGGAAGGAATCTCAATGTCAGGCAAGAAAGAGGTTATGGATTTCTGCTTCAGACTGCATGTGTGATGTGTTTACAAAATCCTTGGTAGGAATAAAACAAAGGAGCAGACAATACACAGAAGCACAATCCAAACAGTCGATCCCACAAAGTCAATGAGATATGTCGTGACTATTATTGCATTGGTTTTACACTATATATACACAGTGATATGTGATTTTGATGGCAAGAGTGCAGTGACATTACATACAGATTTAGTTATATCTAACATTTTGACATAATGTTTTGTTTCCAGTTAAGTTCATTTTAATAAAGTATGTTTTTTTCAGGAGCGGGGTAGCACTGTTGCCTTTTAGCAAGAAGGTTTAAGTTAGTTTAAATAGTGATTATGGCAACTTGTTCAAGGTTTACCCTGCCTCTCGCTCTATTGTTGGTGGGATAGACTCCACCTCCCACTGTCTTTGAATTGACTAAGCAGAATAAAATGAAATAGATAGTATAAAATGAAAAATAGCCTTTTTTGTACTGTCTGACATATCTGTTCTTTTAAAGATATTTTGAGACACCAATCAATGGCTGGAACTGCAACATAAATTGCACTTGGATCTTCGTCCTGTTTTGAGTATTGCATCTCTTGATTGCACCTAAAAAGGGTCTCTTTCTAAGTTAATGTTACTATTCCCAAATGGGAGTTGCAAAAACCAACCAGGATGTGGTATGTTTCCAGTGCTGTCAAAGTGGAGGTTCATTCTAAAATCAAATAAACATGTTGTCTTTCTGACCTTGGTTCCATTTATCCATCTAGATAGTTTCAGTGTGAGTCACTCAGTTTTGGAGATATAGCATGCAGAGAACTATTTTCCTTCCACTGAACTACACCTGCCAATCCCACTGAGCTGAGGGAAGCCTATGGTCTAGCCCAGACAAAAAGCTTGTGCACAACAAAGCAAACAACATTAACATTGATGGTGTCTTCTAAGAACTTCTGTTGACTCTGGTGTCTTCTTGTCTGCGTTGTAACATTAGCTAGCCACATTACTTCCTTTGGTTTGGTTAGAGGACATAGTTGAAAAAAAAGAGAAAAGAGTTCCTGAATGAAACTGCTCACACCAAAGTTAATGTTTTTTGTGTTTGTTTTTATTGAATCATAATTTCTGAAACAACACATTGCTGGTGAACCTCTCAAATGTATTTTTTGGCACTTTGAGCACCACAAGGTGAGTTCTGTCTGGAGCCAAGATTTTTAACAGAAGTCTGATACTGTATCTCTACAGCCAATGTCACCAAAAACTGGGCAACTCAATCCAAAGCAATTTAGAAGAATAAATAACGCTACAGGCCAGAGGAAGAAGAATCTGCAGAGTGATTTTGAGGTAGACTAGCGCTGTAACTCTGTGCTTTTTAGGCCTACTTTTAAACTAAACCAGTTGAGGCAGCAAAAGATTGAACACAGTGTTTAACTAAAGATAGAAGCACTGCCAAACATCACCACATGAAGACAATAAGCAAAGATAAAGTAAAATTTGATTAAAATCATAAAAGTGATTTCAATCTCCAAATGCAACCAGTGATGCTATCAATTATGACTAGTGTTTTGGCCCCAAGTCTTTTTGTGGGTTTTGTGCGTGTGTGTGTGTGTGTGTGTGTGTGTGTGTGTGTGTGAGTGTGTGTGTGTGTGTGTGTGTATGCTGTGTGTGTGTGTGTGTGTGTCCTGGTGTGTGTGTGTGTGTGCAAGAGAGAGAGAGAGAGAGAAAGAGAGAGAATATGTGAGCGGTGTGTTGCAGGAGGGTTTTGTGTGACACATGAGACTGCAGGAAGTGCAGAACACTTGGGCGCTGTTTTTGTGGACCACAAGCCGTTTGTAACACAAGACAAATGCATAAGAAACCATTACCAAATGTGATGACCTGCAGCAAGAAAAGCCAAACAAGACTACCTTCTAAAAAGATCAAACAATATCTACAATCTTAATATTTGTGCTGCTTGTATCTTTCAGAGCAGTTCCAGTTTTTGTCTCAGAGACATAGAGGTTACCCATTCAGTGCTTCCTTTTATGTCAATGGCATCATGGTGACCAGGATCAGTTCCTGCTGTGAGTACCGCTACACTCCTGGCTTCCAGCAGGGCAGGAAGAGCTGCTTCAGATTGACTTGGCTGGCTGGTGGGATACCCTGCTACAGGTAAGATTACATCCTCTGAGAGACAGACAGCATGGCACTGGCAGAAAAATGAGAATTTAATACCAAATGTCAAAACATGTTGGGTAAATCCATTGTTTTGCAGATATAATGTGTTGTGGGTGGACACTGAGGAAAAAGGAAGCATATTTTAAAAGATCAGGGGGTGATGTTGGTACAGTAGGTAGAATATAATGAAAGCACATTTCCATCCCTTTCAGATGCACAAGTCTCCGAACCAAATACAGCTCTAGCCAGCAGCTGAACAACGGCGCAAAGGAGAACTTAAATCTTTCTCTCGAGCAGAGCACTGGCAATGGTACTAAGCCTGGAAATGAGGGTCTCAATTTTCCATTACTTCCTAAAGCTTTTCATCAACATTTTTTGATATCAGGCCCAGTCCTTGCTTTTGATCAACTACTTTAAAGACAAGATGTCTCACAAAGCATTTTTTCCTTCTCATTTTGTCTCTAATGTTTCCAAAGCAGGCGTCATCGAGTCATGTCCATCATCCCCTCTATTTATCCCAGCAAAACCTGTGAAGAAATCAGTGAGGAGGACAAGAAAACACACCAAGGAGGGCAGCAGAGGATCAACAGACAGCGAAGACCTTCCTGTAGCTGGAATTAAAGAGACCTCCAAAAAGAAACGACGCAAGGGTCAAACTAATCAGAAGGAGAGCAAAGGCAAGACAGCTGGAAATGACAGAGGAGAAGAGAGACAAGACGGCAAGAGCTCAACGAGGTCAACAGTGATGGAAAAATTTGAAGACAAGGCATTGTCTGCCAGACGAGAGCAGGACAGAGCAACCAGCCCTGTCACAATCCTGCATACGGGGCAGCCGCCATCGAAGATGATAAGCAAATTTCCCGGTATGCAAATTTTAATTTTTATCTGGTTTGATTCCTGTAAGACAAGATGGAAAAATAGGGGAAAATAGAATCTTCTGGCCTTTCAAGGGGAGATACAGATGACCTTCAAGCCTTCTGCCTGTGGTATCTCCATTTAATATTCTTTGCAGAGAAAGAAAACGGAAAAGAAAAAGAGTGTTTCTTTTTAAAGATTCATTGCAGGATGAGGAAGCACTGACGAAGCAGAACAGAGAGAAACAGAAGGGCCTTGGATCAAATGGGAAAAACAGAGATGGGGAAAAGCTGAAGGACTTCTATGAAGAATGTGTGGAAATGAGTGCTGCGTTGAAGCAAGGCCCAAGCAAACATCACTGGTTCAAGGCAAACAGTGAGTAAAGAAACCGCAGCACAGTAGGACCAAAGTGGAATCCCCCTGGAGAGCTGTAGCTGATTTACATAATACACTTAAGCAGAAAAAGGTTGAATTTGCAAGAAAGTGATGCATTGAGAAATGTCTGCTTAAAGGAAGACGGATGACGTGTGGGAGAGGTTATGCAGATACACACATGCCTGTGTGCATAAATTTTAGCTGATCTGCTTTCTCTATTGCTCAAACAGAGGCACAAACTGAATTTTAGATTGTATTATTTACATTTTCAAATTAACCGCGGATATCAATATCACTGCATGCACTTGGCTTCAGGACAGTTGGTTTTATTGCACCTGAGTTGTTTAATTTTCTTTCTGTATGCCAAGTCCTGGAGAGGTGCCGGCTCCAGAAGAGGCTGTCATCGGGCCCCAAAGCTCAACGCTCAGATGTGGAGCTCAGTGCAGAAAGTGACACCATTCTGCAGCATGATGGAAAGCCAGAGGAAGAAGAGCACATGGTTAATCAGAGCGCTGGCACGGAAGAGTCCGTTAGAGAGCAAGACCTGCAGGCACAGGTGTGTGTATAACACAAATTACTGTGGTGAAACTGTGTTTTTGCCAGAAGCTTTCCTGGCATTAAATCACTGCCAAAAGCCTCGATTCAAGCAGATTCTTCCATTCTGTGTTTTTGTCAGAGCAGGAATTGTATCTGCCAAATAATATAATGAAATGTCAACATTAAAAAACAATTTGCCCATTAAAGTAATGCACGTTCCATTGTCCCACTTCTCAACTAGCTTTAAGGTTGTTCATGTTTTTCCACACTCTGACTATATTACCATGTTCCAGCTATTCACTAAATAATGTAGTGTTTACACAGAGAGAAACACAGGCTTTTATTGAGTGCCACCATTTTCTCTTTTAATTACTGCTTCATATTTTTAGCTTTTAAGCACAAACGTCCCCCCTGAGGAACTTGTCCAACATGTAAAATCTACCCTGATAACAGAAAGGTGGCAATATGTCTTAGGCATGTAACACTGATTTGGAAGATAAAATGTTGATTTTATTTCATTTGGATGAATTCAGAGGATTTATTCTATTATTTGGGCTTTGAATACAAAGACGAGTTGTTCAAATGGTCGCTGAGTTTTATCTGGGGCAGGCAGGCATTTCACTCGGTCATACCTATCATGATGAAAAAGCTTCCAACAGTTCCTGAAAAATTCCTCAAGGTCTAGCAAAATGGCAAAGTAGACGTGGCCGGACAGCCAGACCATATGTCTCCGGACTCTCATCTTGTCTGTGTTTAGAAAACCTCCAGCACCTGTCTCCCCCACATCTCTTTCCCACCCGACAACACATCTCACATTGTGTGCTGTTGCGCACATTTACAAACAGTAAATGCTTAATGTTAATATTCCTCTCAGGGCTCAGATGCAAAATGCATTTCTGTATGAAGGACAAAATAATAATCTGCACTTGTGCAAATGTGATTTCTGTATTTTTATAACAGCTGCTTCTCTTGTAATTGAGCTAACTTAGAAGTTAAATGTAATATGTTTTTGTCTGTATCATATCTTTGCAATTCTGTGCTCTCGCATTCTGCACCACTCTACAACAAGATTACAGAAAAGAAGAATTCACAGATATAAAATATATATTCCACACAGCACAGTGCTCTAGTTTCACAGTAAGAAACTGTTCTTATGGATAACAGTATAGCGACACTGCATTATAACAGTTTCATTTCCCGCACTGTCGTTTTAGAAGGACTTACAGTTTTCTGTGACTTTCTCCTGGTTTGTAAATGTAGCTTCATGCCATGATGACAGTGCTGAGCATGTCTGATGAGGTGGAGCAGCTGGTTCTGAGGAACACGGACCTCACAGATGACCTTCTGCTGAGCCTGGCGGGGTCACTAAAAAGCAGTCTGTCTGAAGTCACACTACTCAATCTCAACCTCAACCTCATTGGCCCCTACGGTGCTCACATTCTGCTGGACGTTCTGAGAGTGAAGCCCCAGGTCAAAGGCCTGCAGTAAGTCCTACGCTCCACTGAGTTGTGTCTTATCAAAATCTGACAAAGAATAACATTAGAATTCAGAAAACATGCCCCCATCTAAAAGCATTTGAATATCACTTTTTTAAAAAAAGAGAGAGACAGGAATATGAACGGAACTGAAGAGATAGTATAAAAATGCAGCAAATCCAAGAAACACAGCAACCAAAGTAATGGATATATAAGTATCACATTAACTGTGTGGGAATTTCAGCCATTTTTATACACAGTCCCCCATTTTCAGCAGCTTATATTGAATTGGTTTCCTTATTATTATTGTGATGCATTAGGCAGATAAAAGTCTGGAGATGATGAAGTTGTATTTGGTACTTTCCAGTGGAATTCTCCACACGAGGTCTAAAGAGATGTCCTTGCAAGTGAGAGAGCCCAGCTTTAGGCTATGATAGCAAAAACAATTCAGAAATCTCGCCCATTCTTACAGGAAAACACTGTCGATAACAGCAAGACCAAAATATGTTTTAAACCACAGAAGACAACCAAAGGGAATGATGGAAGCATTCTTCCCTTGGTTAGAAAAACAACTTCACTACTTAAAACCAAGTAAAGAACACAGTTGCTGCACAGCTGAAGGTCTGATGCTTCACAGTGCAAACAATAAAACATACTGCAAAGGTGACCCAAGAGTTTTTAAAGGCAAAGAAATATTGGATATTTTTTAATCATCAAGTCAGTATCCTGATTTTTGATTGTTTTTATTTACTGAAGCCAAAACTTAAAGCATAGAGACCCACAAACAAGCGGTAAGTGAAGGCAAATTATCGAGACAGCGGCAGAGTGGTGAGAAAGACTGGCCCCTCTATTTCTAGAAGGCCTTTGTTGGCGACAGTCAAGCTTGTGACTCTGCGTAATTATTCTGAGACTTCACTTTTTACAGATTAAACAAATGAGATGAGATTTTCAGCTGGCAGACTATTTCTAATACAGCCAATGAAAAGTGTATCTTCATCTCTTAAAGGGGAATAGAGGCTAAGATATTCCTGTAAGGGCTTAAAAATAATTTACCTGTGAAAACACATGAATATATTTCAGCATTATTCCCAAATGCACCAGTTCAGTTCTTCAGTTATTCAAAAACCTTAAATCTGCATTTAACATACCAAATACATCAACCCCTCAACAGGAAAAGGTGTAACAAATTATCAGGACATTCTGCAGTTTTCTGCAGATTCCATTTTACTGCAAAACAGAAATACACACACACACACACAAAATCCACCATTTGTGTCATCCTGTGTCATCCGGTGTAAAAAAAAAAAAAAAAAAAAAAGGCTTTCTGCCTGAACTTAGATGTCACATGAGAGAAAACTTAGTATCAGGGTGCACACAGCTACATTTTCAAGTGAGCGGTTCATGGAGGCTCAAAAATAAATCTCCACAGTAACCTCTATTTTCTCTCTCTACAGCTTGTTTGGGAACAAACTGCGTGACCATGGAGTGCTGACCCTGTTGAACGGAATAGCTGAGCTGCAGGAACAAACAGCAAGAGCAGCTGCTGCTATCCAACAGGCTATGCTTTTCCCATCAGAACACAATATGCTACCTCAGCTGCCCTCTGGATGGAGCTCTTTCAGGCTTTTTACACTTTTAGAGCTGGATATTGGAGGAAATGGTTTGAGCAGTGATGGGGTGAAAGTGTTAGCATCATATATGAGATCCCATTCCTATCTTCAGTATTTAGGGCTAGCACAGACCAGCGGTGCCGATCTGGCAGCTTGGAAGGAACTTTTTGACAGCTTAAAAGGAAACAGCTCACTGACTCAGATCATCCTAGACGAAAATAACTTGGGTGACCCCGGGGTCAGGCTGCTGGCTGACATGCTGAAAGAGAACATGAGTTTGCAGCAGGTGGATTTAGACAAGAACTGCATCAGCGATGTGGGAGGAAATGACATCATGGGGGCTTTGCTTTGCAGGACACAGTTTCCACTGAGGCATCTGAGCCTCCAGGAGAACAACATCAGTGCAGGACTAATGAGCAGGATACAAGAGGAGGTAAAATATAAATGAGTCCTGCAGGGGTGGAAGAATACATTCGCAAACCCTGAAAAACTATGTAACATAAACAAAACACTGACTTGAAAACTCATAAGGTTTGTTGTTTACATTCCGGAGGTCAGAGAGGCAAAACCTGACTCATTTGACTTGTTTGACCATCAAACACACACAAACATAAAGAGCTCTTCCTTCCTATACCTGGGTGGCCCTGCTAAGAAACACTGCATCTCAGTTTAGTTCTGGCAGGTAGTGTGGGAGGCATGTTTACTTTGGTCTGGATGCATTTTCAAAGAGATATCAATGAACTGAACCTTATTTCTGTATGCCAAGGTTACATCTTCATCTTGATTTTTTTTTTCCTACTTCCCACCAGTGTTACCCCTCGTGACTCCACACCTACTTCGCTAAAATCGACTCCAGCAAGACTCCAGGCTCGTTGATCCATCTGTCATTCTATTGAATAATTTGCTGCCTTCTGACAAAAAAGAAACCACAGTGATTCATTCCACCCACAGTATTTACAAGTGGATGACTTACCCACAACATTTTCCCCCAGAGCATTGCAGTAGCTCTTCTCCACTTCTACAAATCAAAAGAGTTATGGACAGTCAACTATGCCACATCAACTACCCCTATTTTGTTAGTTCTTGCATCTTCATGCGCTAGACAGTACTTCTATTCATAATCTAAGAAGCAAAACTAGGCCACACTCATCTGGGCCGTCATCTCATTGTTCTATCAACATAGACATTCTGAGCATAACTGTACCTGTGATCAAAGCTTGTCAAAGTGGTAATTATCTCCTCCTCTCAAGGCTGCCAGTAGTGATTCTGTTGAAAATAACCCGTCCATATTTCATCTGCAGTCTCTGCGAATTCCTTTCTGCGGAACCCCGATAAAGGCGCTCCTCGAATCCCCAAGCGGATGACAGATAAATGAGACTGGTGTTCCTGAAGATTACATCTGCAGACGTTATCCGGCGTCGCCGTACCACACTGAATAAGCTTCTGTTTGTGGTGTTTGTACATTTAGAATAAAGATGTCTAAATTGGGGTGTCATGATTTGTCAGGTCAATTCTTAGTCCTGCAGAGGGATGTTATCACAACTAAAATAAGCCCGTGTTTCTTTTTTAGCTTTGACTGCTGATATTCTAAGATATTAACAGCCACGTTTGCAGTAGATTCAATACAGAACAAAGTGGTACACCATAACGCTTGGCTAAGCATAAGCTGGCAAACACGAGTCACACTGTAATTCACAGACTCCTTCGATAAGGACTTTGTGCTTCTCTGTTACAAGTAAACCTCGGATCACTGACCCCATTGTCCATCTGCTAATGTATTTAGCCTGAAAGAAATCCTGCAGTGTTACAAGCTTCTTTCAGCTGCTTTTCCAAAAACAAGGCCTTCAACCAGAAGCTCAATCTGTTAGGAATTTACAGGTTGGCTAAAGAAACAGTTCCCCCTTTCAGGCCTTTGTAGATTACTGAGCAGTATCACTTGCTGCTGTACAGTCACATAAGGTCTTGAAAGTGCTGTGATGTCCACTGTTGTTTTAAAGTCAAGGTATAATCAAATCAAACACATCATTCGTCACATTTGCAGATACTGCTAATGGATGAACTACCTAAATCCTTGAAAAACAAAGAATCGCTCTTACACAGCTGAAAGTAGCATACGTAGGTGCTGCTGATACACTGTTACACAGGAGTAAGGTTTCAAATAAGCGAGACTGTGCTGTGGGGAATTGGATAATGGAAAGTCTTCAGAATCGAGTTTCTTGTCTCTGACTTGGGGCAAAAACAAAACAAATGAAGTGAACAATAGTTACCTATCCTCATGGGAAGTTCAGTGATTCAGACATTCTTTAGGGCAGGGTGATGCAATTTATTTCCACTTACAGTGTATAAATGGTCAGTGTCTGTTTCCAGAGCCATTAACTTTTGATGTCTTTGTAATTTTGCCCCACGGATACGCACAGGTGGATTCAAACTTCAAGTTAATTCTTGCACTGGTCACAGAAAAGTGTTAAGATTTGAATGAATGAAAATCCAGGATATGAAAAAGAAGAGGGAAACCTCCTAATCTTTAATCAACAGGCTGAGCTTGTGTACTTGTTAGCAGTTGGCAGAGAAAGCAACTTATGCAAGGAGAAGGCAAAAATCACATTCCAAACTATTCCATATCTGCAGTGTGAATTACTGTGAAGAATAGGGCAGCTCAGATCTTTACATTCTTTGTCATGCAGTATATATGGAAAACCAGAACCCAGCACTGTGCAAGACACTGATGTTCTTCTTTTGTTGCCTGTTTGTGTTAGGTCCTGCACCTGCCCCATTTCGATGTGATTCTTCATGTATTTTTCAATCTTTTAAAAAGCTAAAATACCATATTGTATTATTTCCAGCACTAAAGCATGCTGGGGGAGACTGAATCCACCTGCATCTATTCCACCATAACAGTGTGAGTCACTGTATGACATGAGGGAATGGATGCGCAGAGGTGTATGTTGGTGTTGTGTGTTTTTATGGAAGCCTGGGGGTGGTTGAGCATCTGTTCTATATGCCAGATCTATGCTGACCACAGGGATACAACAATTTGTTTCAGCTACACAGTCCAAGTTGTGAATCTCTACCAGATGGAAGCTGCTTTTTGTTAATTTCAAATATTTCTTTATGGGGACTGGAGACAGGCTGCAAGCCCTGAAACATTGCTTGGCTTTGCGGCAGGCTAATTATAAAGAGTCAGTTTGCCAATTCATGACAATGCAAAACAAATCAGCTAAGCCCTCGTCTTTACAGAATACTCTGCTCTCTTTTCATCTGTTGCAGTAAACAGAAGGGGAGCAGGAAGCTGATGTTGGCTCATTCTTGCTGCACATTCAAAGCACAAGATAAAAATGAGGGTTTCTGGACTTGTGACATGTTCTGTAGAGCTGCAGAGATCAGAGATCATCACAGGGTGCAATCCATGACGGAAGAGCAATTCACAGACGAGCTGTGAAGCTGTGATGACGATGAATACAAAGCTGCAGGAAAGTAAACTGTTAGTACTTCTACTGACAGTCAAACGTAGTGTGTGGCATATTATGACAGGACTGGTTTAGAAAATGAGCAATCTAGTGAGTGAGGAAATCCTTTGAAACCTCAGTTATTAAACCACTGTTTGTTTTGCACACGCTGCATCGCCACCTTTACTAGTACACTGTGTGACACAGTATTATGAGGATGCTGAATGAAGAGTTTTAGAGTCCGCTCCTTGAACAATTGCTCCTGCTGCTGTTTGACATTTGGCAGAAAGAGCAGCTTTTCAATATGGATTATTCATCAGCGGTTTGATCCCCCACTCAAATGTCACCACAACAATGCCTCTGACTTGGCAGCAGCGTCTGTCTTTCTGCAGCTCCACGGGGTAAGGAATTGGCAATAATTACCACATCTAATGTGGCCTTCAGACAGATTCAGTCTTTGTGTTCTAGCACAACTTCAAATTATTATTATTACACTGTTAAAGAGGGTTAAAATCTTGAGTTACCCTATCACTGCATTATTGCGTTCAGTGCACTCACTTATAATATATTCTAAAAAAGTAGCAAAGATGGCCGATACATGAACTGGTGCAGCATATCAGGATGAACCAGATGACTGGTGCATTGTATTATGCCGGAGTGTAGAGGGGGAAAAAAGGTTATATGTATGTATGCATGCCGCAATAATGTGTATTTTTTTAAAAACCTGCATTCAATAACTGTTTGTGTGACGTAGCACAATAACATTAAAAGGAAAACTGAGAAAACTGCCAATATACTTGAAAATGTTAAATATTAACAAACTGAAACAACTCAGTGGAGCAATATTATTAACTTTATTTTCCCTTTTCTGTCACCATTGACAAATTTCAGTCCAATATTCTGTCTCACTTTGTTTCCACAAATGCCTGAGAAAAAAAAGTCACTACAAAATGATCCACACTGTTGAAAGCTAGTTCTTAACTTTACCAGTCTGTAAAGTTAATATTCCCACAGCTGCCTTCTGTAGGAATATTTAAGGCAAGAGCTGTGAGACTAAACTGTAAAGTTTAGGTTCAGGTACAGCTAGGTAGATTTGGTGTGCAGTAGTCTTTACACGCGCACAGACAACAGAGTATAGCCTAGAACTAACATAATATACTATTGTTATAGTAGAACAAAGTACAAAGTATTTCTGGGCTGAACATCAAAACAGTGTGCTTTCAGATGTTATCATTCTTTTTGTAGTTGAAGCAGCATTGTTAGTAGGGAAATGAAATGAATATAGTAGTATTTGATACTATTATATCACTCTTTTCCTCCCCAAATTTCCTGTTGTAATATATGGAATGGGTAAACAGAACACCAGGGCATGCTCTTATTGGATCCAGCTGTGCCTGAGCAGAGTCTGCTGCATTCAGCTGGCCCCATTTCCCCAAGACATGAGAGTAAAACAAAAGAGTCTGTGTTTATCAGACAAGAGTTTCCATCTCTAGAGCATGACATGAAAAGATGTGCCATGTGTTAAGCTCATATTTTAAGGTTTGTTATAAAAATAGAACAGAATATCCAAAAATATCCCGTTTATGTTTTTACTCAAATTGAATCCAAATTGAATTGAATATATCACCATAAATCTTAAACTGTGCAAACTGAACTGTTGCTTATAACTAATTAGCACTCAGTTGAACAAATTTGCCTTCTATGCTAATTGCAATGCTAGTTACAACGACACTGTCTGCAGGAAAATCCACCAATTTTCCACACACACACAGAACTTCTCACTTGGGTCCTGTGAAGAAGAGAATATACTATTAAAATACTCATAGAAAATCTTGCAGCTTTTCCATCAAAGCTAATTCATGCTTTCCACTAAAACAAGCTTTTGGCCTGAACTGCGAGTATGCAGGAAAGTATTTGCTTGGATTGGAAGACGACTCTTCTGAAACTGCTGTCAGGTAGAAAAGCAGAAATTTAAATCCCAGAGGCCAAACTGAAAAGAGCTCTCAAACTTCTTCATGTCAAGGACCACCAACATGCATCAGACCACAAACCTTTATGTGCCCAAAGGAACCATATCTGGAAAGACTTCAAATATCTACGACACATAACATTTTACTGCCTGTGTTACATAGGAAAGCTATTACTGAAGAACACGAATGGATGGATGGATGGAATTGTTTTTCATGAGCAAAGTCATTTAATGTTTTAACAGTGATTACCAAAATTTTGAAATCAATATGGAACTTAACAGGCAGCCAGTGTCAGTTTGCCAGTACTGCAGTAATGTGCTCATACTTCTTGGTGCCAGTTAAAATCCGGGCAGCAGGGCTGTGAAGCGAGCTCTAAATGATGCCTGTATAAAAAGCACTGAGACAGTCGAAGTGAGAAAAAAGACCTATAAATTACGTCCATCTTTCATATACAGTTTGTCTAAAGATAAAATAAAGCTCTGAAGCTCGTTCTGTAAAACGCTTTATTCTCTTACACAAAAGCTGAATTGCAAAAACAGCAAACTGGCAGATCTGTTGCACTTAAATAGACATGTTACCTGGTTTATATTTTAATGCTAAGCTGAGCTAAAAAGTAACCATCTGCTTCTTCTTCTTCTTCTCATTTAACTCTTGGCAAGAAGATGAACAGGCATGCATCTAAGAACCCCTTGGCAGTTCCTGGGCAACAATTTGAGAATCACTTGCATAGGCTGCTGCAATAATCATTACAAACCCCATGAAACTTTACACTCCAGATTGAAGATCTTCCCCTAGGCTCTTCCACAGGACATAGCTCTCCTTGTCTGTAAACTAAAACGTGTGGTAACAAAAGCTCACATCCGGCGATGCTGAGACAGGTACATGGGAAGTGCTCTTTCAAGGTGGTGAGCTCCCTTCCTTCCTGGTCATGAGAGGACGAACTGTGTGGGGACTCTGTGCGAGGAGAAGAGATCCAGTTGCAGACGGCTGAATTGGTGCTCTGTTGGGTCTCCCCTGGACACTGTCATAGCGTGTTTGTTGAAGGCGGGTCAATGAGGACTTTATTTGGCAGAGGAATTTCGCAGCACACGACAGTACACATGCACATACACACATATATGCACAAATTGGAATCAGTGCAGCCCTGCAACCCTGTTATAATGGTGAGAACGGAAGTAAACAGTGAAGAGGCAGGGGGTTAAAGGGGGCTGTCACAAAAAGCTGGTTTAATGGTTTAAATTTCACTTGATTAAATTAATTGTTCATTTGTCAAAGCGGAAATGTGTTCCTCGCTTTTGCTGGGGTTCGGTTGGAGTTTGATGGAACTTGACACAGACAGAGTAGTTGCGAAGCACAAACAGCAGGAGTGTTTACACTGCAAATTTTCAAATGTCAGACAGATTACTCTGAAAAAGTTGAGTCACACGTTTCACAAGAAGTTAAATATTTTCGTAGAGCGCAAGTGGATTGGGGGTGAGTCCACAAAAGTACTTTCATGTGGTTTTGCTTCACCTCAACTGATTATGTAGATGGAAAAAACCCTAATTCAAATTCCTGGGGGTTTCTGACTCTAAAAATGTGTAAATTGCAACAGTTTCAGGTTTTTGTGACATGCAGGTTTGGCCAATAATATTATTTGCTGACATAAATGAACAGAGGTATACTTTCAATATCAGCAGAAGTGCAGAACAACTGAGAACGCACACACAGAAAGGTGCAGAGCAGTTTTAGTAGTTTTTGCAGTTCATCGGTGTTACTTTTGCTGGAATTTGGCAAATTAATAACTAGAAAGTAGCTGGAGGACCTGTTGTCATGTTGGCATTTTTGAAGCAAAGACTGACTAACCCAGAACTCTACCATGTTGGCTAAATAGGGTTTAGCCAACATGGTAGAGTTCTGGGTTATCACTAAATGCTTGAAAGCACGACTAGTAAGTTGCACAGATGTTTGCTATTTAGTAGGCTAACAGTAACAGACTAATAAAAAACTGAAATTCACTGATAGCAAGCATTGTCATTTGTGAGATCAAAACCTGTGTGCCTGTGTTGGCACACTTATAACATGGCCACATCCTGCACATCTGGTAGAAACTACCTACAGAGACAATTCTGCTATAAAGTTGGACATTTTAACATGAGAATCTGTGGAGATTGCTGAGCCAACCTTAACCACAAGAGGAAGTGCAGTAGTTGAACTTCTACTTGTTCTTCATTTCTCAGCCCCACAGTTGCCATGAAGTAGTAAAGCGGTGAGGTCGCTATGCCAAAACTGCAAAAACAGTTTAGAAGTAGATCAAGTTCTGGAGGGGTGAATGCACATCCACCACCTTTAGCATGCAGCTGACTTGTTGTGGATGCTATGTGATTAGTTAGATTTCTAAACAAAAATACTCCAGGTTGTTAGTTGCTTTATATCCCTGTACTCTTAGCAGATTTGTGGCAAACTGATGTTGTAGGAGCATGGTGAGTATAACTGGAGCTTCCAGGTGCTAAAAAACCCTTTACTAATCAAATCTTTCTGATAATAAACCCACAGAATCTTTTCGCTAAGTAAAACAGTGCTTAGATCAGAATGAATTAACCTTTATTATTAACATTTACAACGCTCCTTTAACTCCAGCAAGATATGACAGTGAGCACCATTATCCACGTCATAAGTGGAAACATCTCAATCATCAATTATCCTTAACTGATCAAAGCCAAAACTAACAAGCAGGATCTGTTTTAGAGCTTTTGTTTTTATGTCTGGTCACCATATTTCTACAGAGGGCTGACCATCTGTTTCTAAAATGGTTGCTGTGGCCCAGCAGATGCTGCAGATGTGATTGTTTCTAGCACATCCCGAAAACTACACGATTTTCAGTGATTTGATCGGCAGTACACAGACACACGTGCACACTGACAGGCTGCTGCTTTCTGAAATGACACACCTTTTGCTGAAGGAGCGCCTGAAAACCGCGTGTAGCTCCAGATTTGCTTCCCTTGGATGTCAGCTGAGGGCGACAGAGGGAGGTGTTGTCCCCCCTCTCCCGCTTCTCAAGATTTCCCTCAGTCCACAATAAACTTTCATTTTGGGAAGTCGACACACATATACACACACCGCTGGGCTTCTACATCTTGTCCTGCATTGATTCCCCGGGAAAGCTGGACGAGACTCTAACGGAAAGACGGAAAGAAATATCGGAAGCGCACAGGTGAAGCTCTGTGGAGCGTCTTTTCTTTTCCTTAAAAAAATCACATTGCTGTTATCTTCTGGAAGGAGACTCAAAGAATTAGAGGCAAGACAATGGCAAAAAGAAGCTTTTTCACTGCTGGTTAATCCCGCATCGTTTCACTGTTTTATTTTTGCTGTCTTGCACTTTTTTACTCTACGCGCGACTCTTCAAGGAACACCTGGGATGGAAAAACTTTATCTGCCTCCTCTGGACTGTAGAAAAAACTCCCAAGAAAGAATGAAGTAACCGCTATGGAGCCGGATAATGCCCCGTACTCCAAACTGAAAACCACTGGAGTCGGGGGGTGAGTCGACATATTCAGAAGTGCATAAATGAGCACTTTTCTTTCTCACTTTTCTGAATTAAAGAGGGATTTCTTTTTGTTTTTTTCGGGTTCCCCCGAATCCATGTCCTTTCGAGAAAGATGTTGATGTCTAGCAGCACTGATACAAGCAGTATGTTTTACAGTGGTTGTTTGAAAAAACTTGTGACAGCATTTCTTGGGTTACTAAGACAAATGACTTGAGCTTTTAGAGGTATTTGTTTGAGAAATCGTGCAGAACAGGTGGTGTAATTAATGGCTTGCAGAGATAAGCATGTGGAAACTATTTTCTCTGCTCTTAACATCAGTTCAGTGAAAGCCAGTGTAGTCTGCTGTGCTGTTCTACAAGTTCTGCCTTTGCAGCTTGTATCTGAATGAGCTGCCAAACGATCTGGGACTAATTTAAGGGAAATGTATGAGAGGAGGAGACACTCCTCCTCTTCCTCCTCCTCCTTTTCTCTCCTCCCTGCTGTGCATCTTACTCAGCTGGTTGGCCTGGCTGACACAATGGGAGGAGATGTCCTATAAAAGTCCAGATGTTGCATCACATAAAATCTGCAGGACATACAGGAGGCTTGGTCACAAGTGGCACATACAGTTTCTGCTGCTGCTGTCAGTTTAGCAAGATTACAGTGAAGGTGGAAGGACTAAAACTTTCTGAGGCTCAAACCAGCATTCATTGTGCCAGTGGCTGACCAGTGGTTTTGTGGCTCTTTGGAGAAGAACCGCAAATGTAAGAATTCCTGAAAATGCTTTAATTATAGCACTTGTCACTAAGTGTGTGCCACTTCAAGCAGCACTTGTACCACATTCACCCAGATTCGTCTGCTGCATTTAAAGCCCAAATGATGTGACGCGTGAAAACCTGATATTATCATAGAGACAGCTGAAATTCACACCCATTTGAGATAATTCAGCACCTTTAGAGCAGCTCCATATGAGTAATCAGCATCTCTTTTATCACTTGTCTTGACATATAAATGTCACAGAAAAATCAATGGTGTAAAATTTGCTGTGTGCTGCTTGATGTTGGATATTAAGTGGCACTGTTGGCCTGTGAAAACAGAATTGATCTAAATCTAGTTGAATGATTACACGTCCCTGTGTAGGCTGAGAAAAGCAGCTTTTTCTCACTGCTGGGTTTAGATGAAACCCCTTTTAAAACCCACAGTCCAAAAGTGCTCGGCTAGGCTGCAGTTTGCCTCAGATAAAAGTCAGATGTTAGCGATAAAACACTGACATGTGAAACACTTTTTTTCCCCAAAGCATTTGTCTATCTTTCGCTTGGCATTGTAGGTTTTAAGGTGATGTGGTGCATCTTTTTTAAAGATTGTCAGAGGCGGCCTTATGGGAGCACTTACCTGCCTCTGCTGGGCAGTAGCTTATCTGGTCAGGCAGCAAGATAAGCCAGAGCTTGCTCTCTTGAAGCAGATGTTAGACTGTTTGAAAAAGCAAGGGCTGCTGCTGCTGATGCTGCAGCAGCACCTAACATGACTGTGCCAGATGGCTCTCCAGCTAACTTAGTATGTCACTTTGCTTACTTAAACTGGTAATGTATCCTGCAAATTATTTCACATAACATTTTGCATTAAATTGAACTAAGCAAGAATGTGAAAGAGATACATTAAGGGCTCAGATGACGTTTTTAAGGAATTTATACGTTTTTTTATGAAATGTGATTGAAGTGCACCTGAAAGCTGAGTTAATTGTAAAACACAAAAATTACACAAACCTCTAACATCTGACATGTTTCCTTTTGTCTTTGTATTTAGGAGAGTTCTGATTCTTTGGACTTTACTCTGTTGTACCTGCTCTCTAAGGCTAACACAAGCACAAGGTAAGAAACTTTAAAGCAAAGGTGGGTAAGTGTCTGTTATACATTTTCATTCAATGTATTTCTGAGCATGTGGTGTCACAAATATGCCTTAAAACCACTGAGAAAAAGAAAATTGAAATAAACTAATGAGCTGTAGAAGGCTGGGTAAGTATGTGGCCCTAACATGGACTTGTTATTGTGCAAACGTTTGTCAGTTTACCACTGTTTATTTGTGAATAGCATAAATCCTGCTCAGCTTTACCTTAATGAGCAGTGCAGTCTGCCAACTACACAGACTGATTCATTGTGTTTACTCTTCGCTGGAAACCATATTAAGTTGTGGTTGAATGTGGGACAGCCACATCTTCTAATATATGTTCATAGAAGCAGGAGGTTTAAATACTTATAACTTGCTGAATTTACTAAACCAATTTTAAAGCGGTTTGGTTTCATTGCTAACGTCTCTGTTACAGCGAAAACTGAACTGGTAACTCAAATGTCGCACACAAAAACAGGTATTCTAATAATGTGCAATCAGATGTGGTTCAGACATTTATTTTGTTGGAAAAAAGATGAACCTGTGGACCTCTTTCATTCTGCAGGAGTTCATTTTTTTGTTTCTAAGCCTCTAAAGCTCAGCAAACCTCATACCCCCTCTTTGATAACTTAATTAAAGTCTTACCTGACCTATCAGCCACACTTTGCAGAGTCTTGTCTGCTTGAAGTACTTTCGCACTTTCATATTGTGACTCACACTCAGCTGTGCATCGATGTCTGCTGCAGTTAGCTTGCTGTTACACATCTGAGAGGCCATTATCAGCTTGTTGTCTGAGTCTGCTGTCAATCAAAAATCCGCCAGATTTTTATTCAATCGGCACTCTTCCCAGTTTCTCGATGTCATTTGATAACGTAAGCCACTGTGTTCCCTGATAGCAGTTTCTGGCAGTTTTATCTGAAACTCTGCATGCATCAGATGATATTTCCCTCCTGTGATGACTGAGTGTCTAGAGACCTAGTATTTTATATGTGTTAATTTGCACACTGTCAGATCCTAACAAAGCACAATTTTGTGCTTGCAAAAGGCTAAAATAGAAAAATAGTTTTGCTGTTACACAACCCGGCAGATTGTTTGGATCATTTGCAAATAGATCACATGGAGCAGTCCTGCAGATATGAAATGTCTATGCATGTTTGGATGTTGTTGCCTGTACTTCACAGTCCAGATTTTGTTATTCTACAGCTTTTAGTCTGCATTGTTTTCTACATTTTGACATCAAACACCAGAAGAAATCTTCACTGTCAGTGTGCACAGGCCTTGAAGTTTAGTTCCTACAGTTACACATATATCAGCAGCCTGTGTGTTTTTTTCAGAAGTGTTCCCGATTGAGGTCAGCCAGAGTGCAGTAATCCCAGAGTAGATATGGGAGTTCGTTATGTATGTGTTGATGTAATACCAACCATCTTCTAGATGACAGCCAATCTGTCAGTGCCAGACACTGAACCAGCAAACCTTAGTGAAACTGACTGAGCAACTACATGTACTTCTGTTATGAAGTCAGTTAGGAAAGAAGCCTAAGACTGTTTTCAATAATAATCATGATAGTAAATAAAAAAGCATACACTCTGGGTGCAGAACCTCCCACAGTTTTTAATATGGAATAGTAAAAGTTTACCAATGGCCAGCTAAACCACTGGTAATATACACTGCCCAGTAGATGGATTATTGTGCCTCATCAAAGGCCAACAAGCTTCTCTCAGATGAGAAATTTAGTGAAAACAAAACCCTTCTTGTACTTGAAGTTCTTAAAACACATTAATTTTTAGCTCATATGACCAAAAGGATTGTTGACCTCATGCGTTAACGAGGCATCCATGCCCATCTGACCATTCACGCACAAATTAGTCCTCTTACAGTACTGCATGGCAATAGACATATTTGTCTTTAAGGATACTTTACCATTTTTGCAAGGATCACTTTTTCTCTTACTAAGCGTCAGATTTTAGTGAGACTTCCACAAATCGTCTTGTACGTATTCACCAAAACTGTACCCAAGGTTGTGGTCGTGGTCACATGCGTCAATTTCTGAACAATGACCTGTGAACTGTGATGGATTGTAAGCATGTTGAGCTACTACGTCACTGACGTTCTGGTTCTTCAAAAACAGGCTATGGTTTTTGTTTTTTTTGTAGTCATCCTACAAGTTTTGACCAAAAGGTTCTGAGAACTGTCTTACCATATTTGTGTTTGGTAATTCTCACATCAAAAGACATCTTCTCTTGCACACATGGACAGTTTTTAGTGACTGCTGTGTTTAGCCACCAGCCAGAAAGAGTCTTTCTGTGAGGAGTTTTCAAAGCTTGCATGGGTTCTCCAGGTATTCCGGCCTCTTCCCACTGTCCAAAGACATGTGTGGGTTAGGTAATTAGAAATTCTAAACTGGCTATAAGTATGAATATGAATGGTTGTCTGTTTCCGTGCAGCCTGTGCAGTGTACCCTGTCTGTCACGCGATGACAGCTGGGATAGGCTCCAACCCCCAATGGATCTCCTCCAGTGTGTCGAAATGGCAAACCACTAGCCTGACTGTTATTTTTAGAAAATGGACAAAGATCCATGAAGGGAAATCTGGTGAGTGGTTGAGGACTTGAGCAAAGATTGTTTATGTCACGAAAAAACTCCTCCGTTTTCAAAGTGCTCTGAGCAGGCGCCAGATGCTACACTGGCATGTGTCACAATTAGGACGGTTTCCTATAAACGCTCCCTCGGATGCCTCAGGATGTTACTGTAGCACTCCCTGTTGACACTCTCACCCCGAGGAATTAATTTTCTGTGCGTAAACTGAAAAATGTTGAGAAAAATCCAGAACATTTCACATATGACACGCTACCTCTGGGCTTGTAAACTGTGGACTCTTCAATGGAAAACTGCTCGTAGCTGGAGACCCAGATCTCATCACAAACAATAGTCATGTGAAATTTAGGTAAGGTTTAAACAGAAGTTGATGTTGCCTCTCAATGCAGGTTTTAGGTCTTTGGTGAAAATGTACAGCACACAGTATAAGTGGTCAGAGCACCACTTCCTGAGAATGATCTAAAAATAGCAGTCGTGGTGAAAACCATCTGGTGATGGCAGAGAAGATGACCTTGAGCTGGAGATTGTCTAAATTGAAATAATGTAAGGATTTTTACGTACCTGTTCTCAGAACTTTTTGATCACATCACATAAATGTAAAGAGACATGATTTGTTATTCAGTGTTGTTGCTTTTCTTGATGGTATCTATAAAATAGACATTTTTTGTCTCTGCTAGAATATTTTTGCTGTCAAGCTGTTGCAGAAAATACAGAATCTACATTAGCAGCATACTAATAGTGGAAACGTATTAATCTTCCCCTGCTTTCTGTGAAAAGTTTTTGTTGTCTGATACACTTGTACTTTAACTATGCGTGTCTCCAGGATGTGTCAGACTCAGTTCTCAGTTATTATTTTTTTCAGCTCATCAGGAGGCCACAAAAAGCCAGAGGCAGCCCGCCTACCCGCTTAGATTTAAATATGCAGTGTAAGCCCTGAAAGTACATCACACAATGAAAGAACAATTTTGCTTTCCTCATACCATATTAACAATTCAAATCAGTTCTATATAAGAAATTTGACTGAAGAAGGCTTTTGTTCTTGTTTCACTTACTGTTTGATGTGTCTTTTCCATGTGTGAATTTTTCAGTCGAGCTGACCTCCCGCTGCCTGCACATACTGAGCTGGATTTCCCGCCTCCTAGCGGGACTCGTGTCTATACTTGTTTTTCTTCTGCTGAGCCAGAATTGATCACTTAGCGATTTATATTTGCTAAGTGAAAAAGAATGGGTATTTACAATTTCTATGTGAGCTTTTAGTCTAAGAAGATGGGGAAACGTACAGAGAAGATTAATACATAATATATATTTAGCATGCGCTGATTGGTTTGAGATTTTTCAGCCCTACTAATTTAAACAGAAAAAAACCCTATATTTAGAATCACTGATTACCTAAATTTATGGCTAATAATAGAAAATAATATAATAATGTGAAGTCAGTCTGTTTTGATTTGAAGAGTTCAGTCCATTATATTTATAGTCAAAAGAAAAGGCTAATCCATGAAGTCAGGCCTGGCATGAAACAGGTAAGTTGGGATTGACATAGTTTAAATAGTGTAGCTGAGATTTGCCAGTTTAATGTGTAGAATGGCGTGAGCTGAGCTATAATGTGGGTATTGAGATCCAAATCTACTCAGTTTTGTTCGTCACACGCTGGTTTATATCATAAAGATCCTGCAGTATTATGGTCTGATCATATAAACAAGCACTTGATGATAATGGGGAGGAAGAACTAATGATAAGAGACCCGTTGATGTGCTGAGATTGTGAGCTGACTTTAACGTCTTGACCTGACTGCCCGAAGTAACGATGTGCTTGATGTTTGACTTCTAAAGATGAGTAAATGTTATTTTTTCAAATGCAACATCGAAGTTAAAAGAATAAATAACTGAGACAACCTTGATGCTGTTACTTTAATGGGTCTCGGTTTGTGGTTTGGGACAAGCAGTGTTACTAAATGTATAATATTTCAGCTTTTTCTCTATTTAAATTTTGGTTAAATATAGGTTATAATGGTATTGGTTCATTGAAAGAATGTTTCTGACTCTATATTCTATTCTAATAGGTGGTAAATGGACTGGTTTTTATGTAGCGCTTTTCTACTTGAGCACTCAAAGTGCTTTGTACTGGTTGCATCATTCACACATCTAACACAGTCTTCTAACACTCCAATACATTGGCGTTAGTTTCTTGCCAAGGGATATTTGGGATGCAGACAGGAGCAGCCATCGATTGAACCACCAACCTTCCGATCAGTAGATGAGGTCATCTAGTAATCGGAAGCTTGGTAGCTCTGCCTCCTGGTCACAAGAGAAATGGGACACTTTCCCAAGAGTGTACGTTTATCGCAAAGAGTTCTTTAGAAAAAAAGCACCCGTTTCTTGCTACAATGAAATGTGGATTTAATTAAACTTTAGCACAAAGGTGTGGATCCAATTAGGTGCAATATACAGAATACACGGTGCTGTAATGGATCACTGTTACCCACATTTTCCTCCCTTGAGAAGCAAGTAGCAATTAAAACCCGCAGAAAATACAGCAGTGTGTTTTCATGAGCTTGGGCCCCTGTCAGAGCGATCATCTTTAATCAGCAGACATTTCCAGATAAAGCGAGATAGCATTTCTGTTTCTAATGCACCTCTTAAAAACCCACCACTTTCCTTTCCAGGGACTCGTTCAGCCTCCTTACCCTGAAATTGTTCCAATTAAGCCTGATGTAACGATCACACAATTTCCAGCAATCCCCAAAAGCAAATATGGAAGTGTGACCATATATTGGAAATTTTATGCAGTCTTTTAAAATTGTCTTTGCCTCAGGTTTTTCCATTAGTTGGACTTTAAACTTATGATGCCATGATGGGAATTCACATCTCAATAGATGATCATTTATATTATTGCACTTTTGTTTTTACTTGAATACAGATTGCATTTGAGTAGGATGCTAATAATCAGATTCTTGTGTAAATTTAATTAGCTTATTAATTGCACACAGAATTAGCTGTCCGCTAATGTTTCTTTCTTGTTTCCTTAAAGATGTAGATGTCTTGCAGCAGCTTGGACTTACTGGGCGAAGGACTGGCAGCTCCCCATCTTCAAGCTCTCGATCCATCCATCATGGCATCATCCCCTTCAAGTCAGGCGTTATCCTCACTGAGAGGGCACGCATCCAGGCACCTCTGCGAACTGTTATACCCTCTTCTTACAACCCCTCCAATCTCTCCCTTATCCTTAGCCTATCTGTTCATCGCATCAACAACGCTTTCCTTTTCTCAGCTCTGTCAAAGAAAAGAAAAGTTCAGCTCGGAGTGCAATTTGTACCAGGGAAGGTCCTTGTACACGTAGGACAGCAGAGCTCTGTAAGTTTTGACTACGATGTCTACAATGGCCAGTGGCACAGTCTGGCTTTGGATATTCGAGGCCAACAAGTGTTCTTACACACATCTTGTGGTAAGAAAAGCATACATGCAGATTTGCATTCTAGAAAACAGGAGACTCTGGATCCAGAGGGCTCCTTCCTGCTGGGCAAAATGGACCACAGCTCGGTGCCATTTGAAGGTGCCATCTGTCAGTTTGACATTTATCCCTCAGCTGAGGCAGCTCATAACTATTGTGATTACATTAAGAAACAATGCAGAGAAGCTGACACTTATCGGCCTGTATTTCCACCACTGCTACCTCTATTTTCCACAGACCCAAACGTGACTGTCACTCACATAACTCCTCTCTCTTTGACGGAGATATCCAAAAAGGCTCGGACACCTAATTTGGCCTTCACTGAGGAAAACATGAGGACTACAGTTCTTCCTTCAACCAACTCCGTGATGTCTGTGTATATGGCAATGAGTACTCCAAAACCTGGTGCTGTGTCCGTTTCTCCAACAGTTCACCCAGGGCTTGAAAGCCCATCTAGATTTCCAACTCAGTCTGTTACAACATCTCCTGGGATCAACATGACTCCACCGAACCCCAAACCAACCTCACACGCCATAAAAAACACAAAGCAGGCAGATACCAACTCACCGCAACCTTCTGGAAAAAGTATACACTTACCTGTTTTTACCAGATCATCAGAGATGAAGCCGGCTCTCCAAAGTACAGCTGCTTCCACGCAGGGGTCTCCTTCAAACGCCTACTTTTCTAATAAAAAGCAGCTAACCACAGTAGCTCCAAAGAAACCCGAGCCAAAGGTGACCAGCGTGCTGGATGTCAAGCCCACCTCGCTCACTCCAGTCACTCCAGCTGCAACAGATGGCTTTCAAACATTTGACCTGGAACCGACCCAATTCTCTGCACTCGCTGGATCACCTGGACTAAAGGGCGAACCAGGACCGCTGGTAAGTGTGTCAGCTCTAAACAGACACAACACAAACATTTTGCTGAAATCCGTGAATGTCTGTGTTGAAATAACTGTAAAACGATTAGATGAGTGCATTTCTGGTGTTGCTGTGTTTGAATTCAAGCATTTTTTTTTTTAATCTTTGTATTGTTATATTTTAGCTTAGTCTATTAACCCTTTGTTGAACCACAGTGACACATAAGTTCAACAGGTTGTTGCTTCAATAATGGCTTATTTGCTGGTTCACTCTGTGATCTCCAGACCTGCTCTGATGTAAAAACTGATGCTGCTCTTTATTGTGTGGTTTTGTGAATCAGGCAGTCACCCAGCGTGCACTGTTCTGATTGTAGAAGTACTGGTTGTGTTAATGATGGGGAGTTTTTAAAAATCCACTAAATCGTTTTATTTCATGACTTTGATAAAGTACTTGCAAGCAGTGCTAATAATTTTCAAACCTCATTTTTATTTTCAAAGCTATAGTGAAAACAGCCAGGTTCACAGTCGGCATTTGCCAGTCAGTGTTTGTCTTGGTGGAAGGGCCGGCAGTGAGGTGTTAGATTCCTTTGGGAGGGAGTGGGACTGCTCAGAGAACGAATACTTTTAAAGCAGGGTCAAAGGTAAAAAGGGATAAAGCACTTGTGCCCAGTTACCTATTGGGACTAAATATTTGAAGGCCTTATAATATAATATAAATGTTACACTTGCATACAGGGCAATAATAAATACAATTGTATAGTTATGTTGTCTGAACAAGTTGCTGAGTTTGGCTTATAGTCCAATTTAACTTATCTTATGTGCCATTTATTATTATTTTTAAATTCTGATGCCACTCTGCTGGGATACAGCTGACGTAAGTGGGCTGCTTACAAGAGTTTCACGAACTTTGTTTTGAAAATGTGGTTATGATAGGCTCAAATATAAAGTATAAATCTAATCTGAAGTGATGATTAGATGATAAAAGAAGGTTTTAATTTTGAAGAACCAGAGTCTATTTGGATCTTGAAGCTTTTGGAGCATTGAGATACATATTGTTTGTTCACATGAATCAGATAAATATACATATATTTCAGAAAAAAATAGACAATACAGAGAATACCGATGTCATTGTAAAGTTCAGTGTTTCAGTTAAATAAGTGATCTTTTCTTCATGTTACCCTGTATGAAATTATTTCAACACCGATGTATACAATAATATCATAATTTATTTCATCGTGTAATATTCTCAGGTAAAGACATCCATCCATCAATCTAACGAAAAGTTCTTGATGCCTAACCAAACCAGTGATTGTAAGCAAAATAAAAAAATTAAGTGCAAACGAAATTAATCGGCTAATGAAAACAAAGCCCTGGATTGATAACAGAGTCGGATCTCCTGGCTGGAAAACTTGTCATCTACACTCCTCCGACCTAAATATGTAGACTTTGTCTCTCTAAAATATAACAGTAGTATAACTCTTGAAGTCTGCTATTGCCTCATCAGCGCACTGATGGCAAGGGTTTCACTCTGGTATGACAGCGCTATCTGATGGAATGGCAGTATCTGTCACCCTGGGAGCACATTAAGAATGGCTATCAATTAATATTCTAATTATATAACGGAATATAAATTAGATTGGATATTCAATTGTCAAATGATTAATTGATTGTGAGGGGAAAAAAAATTCTACAGCGCCAGCAGCAGTCTCTCTCTCGAGTGGCACAGAATGCGAGGGTGGCCGGGGGAGTTAATGACATGCGCTGCTCCAAGTGTAAGAGATAAATAATTTCGCTTAATCGAGGAACATATGATAGCGATTAGGGAACGTGAGTGAATGGGTCATAATATTTGTCTGATGTTGTAAATAACGATTCAGTAGCTAGCCATGAGCTAAGCTGGATGTTTAGGAGGAAGTTGGAGACATTTGGATAGTTTATTATTGTTTGGTATTGTTTGTTTTGTTTTGGGGGTTTTTAAACAAATTATCATGTGGTTTTTGGAGAATGCTGACACCACTTTTAAGATACATACACTAATGGTGACAAATGTTACATGATGTAATTTTGTTCTCAGAAGGTCAAATTGGTGGTGACTGTTTGGCCCTTCTGTGCTGCCTGAGCGTAAAGCATCCATGTTTTAGGATTTTTTGCTTCTTTGCGGTGATATTATACTTGAAGCACTGCTTACTGTCATATTTGCTGCTTACCTTTCTACACCAATCAGCTTTTTGACAGATTGAATTAATGTGATACTTTATCAAATTCCTCCCTTTCTGCAAACTGCAGTTTGACTGGTTGGTGGAGGCGTACAACTAAAATTTTAGTCATGTTTCAATCTAATGACTTCTCTGAAAACATGAGCTCCAGTACTGCCTTGGCACTGACCCTAGCAGCGACTACAGCTGAGTCTACTTATCATGTGTGGACAGCCTGATGGTTGCAATCTAAAGAATCTAAAAGTTGTTGAAAGACATTTGGATTTCCAGAGTGTACGGAGGCTGAAATAGTATAATTATAGCTTGTGGTCTTGGCTGAGACAGACCAAAGTGCTCCATACATCTGACATTATTACAGTAGCCCAATTTCAGCAGGACTGCCTCAGGCTGTTTTAGGTCTATTTTTTCTTTTCCACTTTAAACTGCTTGAACAATGGGAAAATAAGTAACAATCCTAACATTTCAAGCAAACTCAGGTTCCTCAGATTGACCCCTCATTAAGTTTGACCTTTCAGGACTTTGCTAATCCATGTATGAAATTGTTTCAAAGCTAGCTGATGCTTATAATTAATGTGATCGGCTGTGACTGGAACCAGCGCCGACCTCCCAACCAGTGCAATGACTCAGAGTTACAGTGTATGCACTTTAGTGGTTTTGGGCTGAAATAACATTGGCTGCTGAGGGAGAGTGCGACATTAGTTTCTAACAAGATATCCTCATGCCTGCCAGCGTCTCAGTGCCCGAGTGCTTTGCAACTTATAGCTAACTTCACCAAGGGACAAAAAAACTCAACATGTTTTTACTAACTGACTCTTGAGCTTGAGTTTTAAAGGTTTTTCTTTACTTTGAAAACTCCAAATTTGCTGTCTTTTATTATTCAAGAGTATTCAAGACTCTCTTAAAATAACACAAAAAAGGCAGCAGCTTCTATTTCCTCCTCTGTATTTCACTCTGACACTGACAACTTCTATATTTTGCTTTTAGGGTCTGCCAGGACTTCCAGGGTTGCCAGGAAAGCCGGGCAAGAGGGGCCCACGGGTGAGCATTTCCCAGTCAATCCAACCAGTGACAAGTTTAACCACAAATACCCACAATTCTTCTTTCTTTCCCTTCTGGGCTCTTCTACAGTTCCTTTCATGCTCAAATCTCTATAATGCTCTAATGATAGGGTGATAACACCACTAGCTGTTCACCGATGTGCATGACCTTTTGAGTGTTTTGATCAGCGCTCAGTGGATCACAGAAGATTTTTCAGTCACTTGTTAGTTCGCTTTGGCTCTGGGTTTGATCTAGCTGACCTTATGTTTTCAAGGTCCGTTTGCAAAGCTTTAGAGCAAGCAAACACAACCTACACATATGTGGGTTAAAATATAATGGATCACATTATGTAGATATTTAATAGACGCTGAGAAAAATGAAGGTTGCAGCACATTAACAGTACTTAAATTAGGCATGGGTCCTAAGTTAATGTCAGTGAATAGTTCTATTGTATTCCAATGAGTATAAGTCTTCTGGTGCCATGTCTTTAATTTCTAGACTCAGTGTAGCTCGAGAACTGATGGAATCAAATAGAGAAGGTGGAGATGTTATTTTAAGCTCATGTTTTCAGAAGAAATTTAAGAAGTGAAAGAACACCGGGGCATAATTTGTCCTAAGGGAAGGTTTATTGTTATAATTTCTCTCAAAGACATTGTCATTGATGGGTGTTTAAGTAGTTTCTGACCTGTGAACTACTTCTTCACCACCCATGGATAGAATGAAAGAGGAAACATTTTCAGTGGTGTGATACTGGTCTTTTTGTTGACCTGCCACTAAAGTGTACCTGCAGAGCACTTGTGCATCTAAAGACTTTGCATATCAGCTACCTACTGGAGCCTATGAGATTGCACCCTGCAGTTGGGCCTCAGGGGTGGGTTGTGGAACCCAACCTCTTTAAACAAGGAAGAAAGAGGGCTTTGTCCCCATCTTATTAAAGGCATTTAAGACCCTGTCTGGAGCTCAGTAGCTCTCTCCAGTTGTACTCCATACCCTCTATAGAGCTCATTCATCATCAAGCTCTCGAGACCCAACTATAGGCCAAGCTGACTCAGATTGCGAGGGTGCAGTTCAGGTTTTTCAACGTTTCCATGAACCGTCCTGGTTTACACGATTAGAGAGGGAATACCAAACGGCTACACGCATGACCTGCAGAAAGCTAACAAGTGGACTCTGATCTAGTAAATCCGTTATAAACATTTGGATTAAAACTGACGTTTGCTGTATTTTATATTTGGTGTTCATTTCCATGTAATTCAAAACATAGTTGCTTTTTTTGGCCCCATTTTGTGCCCATTTGTCAAAAAAGTTTAAACTTAAAACAACAATGTTTAGTAGAAAAATGAATGACTCAGTGTGGAAACATGGCCAAGTGTGACTGGGAAGCCTAGTGACTTTGTTTTGGTTGAATTCAAACTCACCAGAGCAGAATCCAATTTAAACGAATGAGTCTCTACACTGTGTACGGCTAAATTTACAGAATTATCATACAGTTGCCACAGTTAGTCCATTTTTCAAGAATTTTCTGTCTGAAACATTTTTATCACTAATTCAAGAGTTATATCTTTCATGCAAGAGATATTTGGAAAAGGCAGGATGCAAGCAACTGCAGATTCAGTTGGCTGTATAAGATGCTGGTCACCTATGGGAAATTAAAAGGCATGGGGAAATAGAGAGTGTGTAAGAGCATTTTCTCAAGTTAAAAGAGCAATCCAATCTTTTGCAGATCAAATTTCACCTTCTTTCTGGTCAGATATAAACCAAATGTTCCAGGGAGACACAATATTAAAGAAGCTGCTCTGCTATTGCAGAAAATATGTGAACAGTGTAGCATTTCCGGGAAAGTGTAGTTCTTTTTCCCATCATAAACTTTACAACGTTTGGAATATCCCTGCACTATTAAGGCTTTACCTCTCTGACATCGAGGTGCCATGTCTGACCGAGCAGACAGTCTCACCGCTGCTACCACCTTAAAGCACCTCTTGACACGTGAAAACATCCATGTTCCTTGACACAGCCGTAAACCTGGCAGGGTGCCGAAGATCACCTGGCACTGAATGTGAGGCTTGAGAGAAGATCAAAGAGGGCTTTGTGCAAACAAACTGACCTGCCAGCGTATAATCAGTATGCAATGCTGGGTTATTGTGAAACTGAGAATATTTGCACAATTGCCTGAAGAATGCTTGATACATTCTGACACAAATTGCAGGGTCAGCAATGGAACTGATTAATTCAATTCAATTCAATTTTATTTATATAGCGCCAAATCACAACAAAATCGACTATGATTATGCAGGGTACATGCTCCGTATGTAGCCATGACTAAGAGCTAGATTACATTTGCTATTTTTCACACATTCAAGTTAAGAGACACTGACATTCTGAACAGTTTGTTGATCACCAATGAAATGATCCTGAACATCAACAGAAACACTGACCATATGCCAGTGTCACATCAAGAGAATTCAGTCCTAACCACAGACATGTCAAGAAAATGCCAACTCCTCACAGACAGGCTCAGTCGGTCACCATTGTTTTCTATGTGAAACAAGAACCCTGTTTGATGATTGCAAATTAAGTTGTTGGGGCCAGATTAGTCATTGCACAACACCAGCTGTACTGATGACCGTGCCACTGATCTTGGGGAAACAATTAGTGCTCAGTTAGGACCTGAGCTCATAACTCAATAAAATTAATAAGCTAAGATCTTTTAATGTACATTATATTGCATAAGCATCATATAAAAGCTAGTAATTCCGTCCCTGTGCTCCAGAGAAGGCGTTAGCAGGTCTGTTCTGGGTTAATGGCCTATAAAACTGCAGCACTCCACGCGCCACTCCTGTAAAAACCTTGCCCCACATCATAAACCTGGTCACAGTGCTGGCACATAGGTACCCTTCATCTGCAGACCTCAGGTGTGTTTGTGTGCTTCTATATCTTATTAGTATTCATTATCTTGCGGTTATGTGCTGGTGGTCTCTAAATGACCACTTGTCAGGGCTCATTTTAATAATTAATAATGTGAAGGCACTTTGACAAATGTATGCATTCTACTTATTATTCTTTTCCCTGCTGGGATATCACCCAAACAGCTTGTCATCATTATTAGGCCTCCTTACCTTATGTACTGTGAGAATGTAATTTGTAATACACTATCCTGACCTCTCTTTTTCTCAGTTTCTCTTTCGTCCTTGCTTCCTATCTGAAGCTAATGACTTCCATACGTTTTCATATTGAGCTGAAAGGCAGAATGGTCTGACTAGAAGAGGAGGAGGAAATCTGTAGATGAGCTTCTGTTAAGTGTCTCCATATGTCCAGCAGCAAGCGTCTGCTTGGGGAGAGGTCTGGCCAGTTTGAGGGGAACTGTCCAGGCTGTGGACTCTCCACAGTGTGATAATACAGCACGATAAATAACAGAGACAGAAACTGGCTGGATCACCCAACCGTACACTTACACCTTTTGGCCCCTGTCTATTTTACTCAGAGTAATTCAA